CAAATATTATTATTACCTTTATTCATGCCTAAACATAAATGCAATCCAAATTGTCATTGTATTGGTCAAAATATTTAATTATGGTAGACTATAGAGTAATTATGGTAGACTATAGAGTAGTTCATATGTATGTGTTTGTTTGATTTAGCTCTTCGAACAAATTGTGAAATCCAAATAAAAAAAAATCAATCATTATAATCACTTGATTAAAAATTTGAGTTAATTTGAGTTAGCATGTAAATCAAAAGTCTCAGCAACCATTTAATTATCTCCAAATATATATTATTTTTCACTTTAAGATTTAATTTAATTTATGTATAGTTGTTTACTCTCTAATATTTATATTTTTATTGTTAGCATGTAAATCAAAAGTCTTTCCTATTTCATTTTTTCCTCCCAAATTTTTGTAGTAAAGCTTATTTGGTAAGTAAATGTCAAATGAAAATTAATTAAAATCTATTAATTGGTAATATTGCATAATTAGTAATATTATGTATGGTATTATATTTTATAATATAATTGATAATATTATTGTTCAATTATAATAAAACCCTATGTAATAATGTAATAGTAAAATAAAATTACAATTACAATAACAACAACAACAACAACAACAATAGTCCAAATAAAATTTAAATTTAAGAAGAAGAAGAAGAAGAAGTGGAGCCATGGGCTCCCCTTTGTAGATGATGTGAGATCATTTTGATCTCACATAAAAAATGTTTGGAAAAAATGAGCTCTTGCCGATCAATGTGGGCAAGTATTGAGAAGTAAAAAAAGGCTCTTATTTAAGAAGTCTTTGCTTGATGGATTCTTATTTTAGTTTTTTTTTTTAATTTATTAGGGGGGTTTGGAAAAGATTAACCCAAAATGTATATGTGTTGTTTTAGGTTTTGGTAGTTTGGAGCAAATTACTGAGTTATTAAATAATATTTTTTGTGTTTTGATTAAAGACAAAATGTTAAAATGACGATTTTGTTACAATTTTGACGAATTTATCAATAATCAAACAAGACCATTATCTAATAATAATATTATGCCATTTAACAAATTAATTGTATTGATATTAAAGTTCGTTTGAAAAGTACGAAAAATGATTTCTGAAAAATAAGTTATTTTTTAAAAAACTTTTTTTTTTTAATGTTTGGCTGCATAACAGAAAATTGTCTAAAAGAAAATTTATATTATTATTATGTAATAATGTAATAATAAAATAAAATTACAATAATAATATTATAAATATAATAATAATAATAATAATAATAATCAAAACAAAACTATATAAAAAATAAATTCAAATTTAAAAACAAAAAGGCAAAGGGGAGCCACAGGTATTTGGAAAATTATCTTTGTGTATTTGAGTCATTTTTCAGAAAATGTCTTTGTGTATTTTGTTCTTTTTTCATAAAATGAACAGGAAAACGAGTAAAATTGTATACTTGAACATTTTAATTGTTATATATATATATATATATATATATATATATATATATATATATATATATATATATATATATAAACATTTTTACTGTTTGGTTTATTATATAACAACTTTTATTTTAAATTTCATGCAACATAAGTTTTAGCTGTATTCAGTGACACTGCTGCAAATGGAAAAATGGAAAATGACTTCCTCCAAAAAAACAGGGAAGTCATTTTCCAGAAAATTTCCCTCTCAAGCCAAACACTGAACTTCTAGAAAATGGTTTATGGAATCATTTTTCGAGTTTTCAAACGCACCTTTAGTATAATTGACTAATAATTATTATGATAATTAAACCAATAATCTATCCATACTTATTATTAAAAACAAATTCCTTCTTTCATTGTTGCTCAAACATTTTTTCCCAAACAATAGAAAAGGAAAAATGATAAAAGAAACGGAATTAACTTAATAATAATAATAATAATAATAATAATAATAATAATAATAATAATAAATAAATAAATAAATAAATAAATAATCTATATTTATAATTAAAAATAAAATCATATTTACTTTTTTTTGAAAGTAAAATCATATTTACTTAATTTCCCACCCAAACAATACTAAATAGTAAAATTAAATTAAAAAAGGAACGTAAACTAAAAAATGAATATAAATATGTCACAATAATATTCTACATCATCAATTAAAAATAGAACGAAAAATGATGTAAATTGAAAAATAAAATGAATATTAATAATTGACTGAAAATTAAAATGGAAATTAGGAATGGACATTTGCCTAATTTATAAAAAAAATATGAAACAGTGATAAATAAAATCTCCAAAATTACAGCACCGCATGCGTATATCTACACATTAGCTATTAATTTGACCAATTATTTTCTCAAATTCAAGCAATGATAACATCAAAACAAATAAATGATTCAAATCACATCTTCAATTGCACTATATAATATTTGATGTTCTAATTTAAATAATTATATATCAATCCAAATATTCTTAATATATTACAACAAATTCATTCCGTGCATCGCACGGGGGCAAATACTAGTATATACTAACACTAAAACACACAAGGTTGTGGTATAGTGATAGATTGGAGAACACGGAAACTTAATTGCCTAAGAAAACACCTGACATTTTTGTGGAAGAACACACTAATATGAACCTTAACACACAAACCCACACATCAAATGGGGAGCAAAACAGAAACTTTCACAAACAACACCACACATTTTCTGGAAGTTTAACCATCCAGATGAACATACACACTCTTATATGAACCTCTTAACACAAACCCACACACCCACACACCACGAAGAAAATAATAAAAAGGAAAAACAAAATAAAGCTGCCTATAAATTCAGCTCATGCCCAAGCCATTGAGAAACAACACGCTCAACGAACTATCAAATATATATTGCAAAGAGAGAGAGGGAAGCGAAAATGGCAGATAAGGGATCACAGGGGATGGGAAAAGCAGGAAAGGATTACGGTAGAGAGAGCAGCAAGGGAACATTTCCAGGGCCCAAGCCGGGAAGTGTGATGCCTAAAGACAAGAAGCATGTTTCCACCATGATCGGAGAGAAGATCGGCAAGAAAGTGACTTCCATGCTCAAGAACGATAAGAGTAAGATCAAGCCCCAGGGGCAGTAACGTAACAATTCTTGGTTAATATATACATATATTGTTCTAAATTAGGTTGTCTCTTCCATCTCCTTGGTGTATGTGTGCAGATACCAGAATGTGTCTTAGGTGTCAAATTATCCCACTATGTTTGTAGTCTTTGTATTAGCTAAATGATCACTGTGTTGTATTTCTGCATAAATTCAATTCTCTCATGTAACCAGATTTGTGATTAATTTAATTTCTTGTTTTATATTTCCCATGTTAATCATTGTGTATTAATATTAGGGTGTGTTTGGAAACCTGAAAAATGAGTTCTGGAAATCATTTTCCAGGTTTCCACTATTTGGATGTGCCTGGAAAATCAAGTCAACGAAAATCATTTTCCGTTGACTTTAGAAAATAGGCTTGTTTTGGAGGAAACGACTTTCCCTTTTTTTGGGGAAGTCATTTTCCAACTTTTACACCAACATCACTACCACCACCAACATCATCAACACCATACCACCACCACCACCTCACTCCCACCATCACCACCATTACTGCCGCCGCCACCACCACTATACCACCGCAACCACACCACCACCATCACACCACCACCACCATACCACCGCAACTATCGTCACTGCCACCGTTGCCACCACACCACCACCGTCGTCGCCACTACCACCACCATCACACCACCGCCACCACCACACCCACCACCGCAACCACCGTCGCCGCCACTACCACCACCGTCACACCACTGCCGCCGCAACCACCGTCGCCGCCGGCACCACCACCACCACCATACCGCCACCGCCACCACCACGACGATACCACCGCAACCACCACCACCACCACCATACCACCGCAACTACCTCTACCACCATACCATCGCCACCGCAACCACCACCATAATATTTTTGATATATTATTAGTTATTTTTTTATTACATTTAACATTATTATTATGTTATTATATATTATTATACATGTTGTAATATTTTAAATAAAATAATTAAAATGTTTAATTATACAATTCTACTCATTTTTCAGAAAAATGAACCAAACACACAAAAACAGTTTTCCAGAATGCAACCAAACACAGAAAAGAAGAATGTTTTCCGAAAAATGACTCATTTTTCAAAAAACATTTTTCAGAAGTCATTTTCCTGCTTTCCAAACAGACCCTTAAACACAAATTTTTGCACATCGCACATATAAAATACTACTCCGTGTATATATATATATATATATATATATATATATATATATATATATATATATATATAGTGTAGATAATTGTTTTTTTTTTTAAACAAAAGTAAAAGAGGCCGCAACATAGGAATTATGTCCATATTTTCTAAAATAATGTTTACCACATCCACATTTCACTCAACTAGACCATTTGATGCCCATAACTGCAAGAATGGCAATAAGTATACAAACAAAGCCATACAATGGGTCATTTGGCACCCACTTTAAAATAGACCATTCTTGCTTGAGAGGGTAAATTATATCATGGTCAAGAATCCACAATACCCTATTGACCCTGATCCAATACACAAAATTCTTATTTATAATACAAAAAATTCATGTTCATTATATCGTATTTATGTGTATGTGTATTATGAACATGAATTCTGTGTACTAAACCAAGGTCCACAGTGCACTATGGACCCTAGTCCATATAACAATTGGCTTGAGAGTAACACAATGAATATCTCAAAGACCTTAACCTAGATACTATGGGTTGATTGAGTGCATTAAATACCGCTCACAACACCATAGCAACAGAGACCAATTAGCTGCATATCCTAAGCTGACACCATTGAAGTCCAAGTTTCTAATAATTAATTACACATGCAATGTCCAATGCAAAATTCATTTGCACCTATAGGACGTATAATGCCAAATGCAACATATTCAACTTCAAAGATGCGGTTGACACAAATGACCTCGAACTTTTTAACAAAGGAATTGCAAGAGGCTTCCACCGCCAAAATTCCTATTACAACTAGAATAGGCAATTACATACTCAAACAAGATTATAAACCAGTAAAACTACAAATATGCTTAGGATGTCGGAGCACAAAAAAAGAACAGCTAGAGATGCAAAATACCATACTAACTGGATGAGACTGCAGAAGTTCCTGCTCAAAGTAACCAAAAGTGTCAAGTAATGAAGCCAATATAATGTTGTCGTTGTAGTATTGGAAAGAGCAAACATTTGGCACGTGCAGAATAATGGGTACTAAGCTCTCTACCACTCTTCATCCACCGAGAAGGCAGAGAAGTTGAGTCTTAACACCCAGAGAAGTTTTGTGGCGACAGGGGGGCCTTAGCTTCACAATTTTCAAGTGTATCAAACTCATTTTCAAGGGTGGTTGTAAACAATGTCGATAAACAGTTGCAAGGTGATGCAGATAAGCAGAGTGAGGATAAACAGTTGACGAGATGATGCGGACAAGCAGAGTGGTCATTAACGATGTCGACTTAACAGCCGGTGGTTTTTGGTGAAAGCACGTAATCATACCTCAAAAATAGAAAAGATAGCATGTTACATCCAATCATAGTAATAATGTTGAGCATTAATCACATAAGTCAAAGACAGATATAGTTTAGTAGTTTAAAGTACGAAAGAGACCTCCAAGTTTTAGCAAGCCAAACAGAGCAGGCCGATGGGGAAATGGAGGGGCACCCCAGGTCCAGGTCCGGGTCCACAATAAACTGAAACGTCACGAGAAATAACTACAACAAAGTTACTCTTCCATCAAGCCTATCAGACAGACTACAGAACATCAAAGATCCTTGAGCATTTCCTCATCTTCACTACTCAAATCTTCAATCTCTGCAAAAAGCATTAAACTTTGTGAGCTTGGCTGCACTAAAAAAAGTACACTAGTCCTCTTCTCCCCACCCCCAAAACATCCCAATAAAATAAAAGGCATCAAACTTACCCATTTGCATAGGGTGATTCACGACGGCCACGGCGATATGCTGGTGAACTGCAGAAAATTGATAAAAAAACAGTTGATCTCCACTTCACTAGAGGAAATACACAAAACATATTATGTATGCACTTTACATACCCATTGCCATTTGGTGAATCTCGATGACCACGGCGATAAGGAGGTGACCTGCTGTAACTCCTACCACGACGAGGAGAAAGGTTGCGACGTGGCGGGGATCGCTTGCCAAGAGGACTATAGCTCCTGCAATAATATGAATATTTTTTATGAAAGCATAAAAATTTTCTACAACTGAAAGCAAATAACCTAATAAGATAATGATATTGGTTATACAATGTAATCCAATTAAGATGGTACAGAATCTGAAGAAGCATGAGTCATAAAAATCAGTCAGAAAATATAAAGTACAGACTACAGAGTAACAATTGGCATATTAGATGACACAAAACTTGTAATACCCATCTTAAATGTTACCATAAAATATTATTAAAGAATCCCAAACATGTAAGATAATTAATTAGACAAGAAATAAGCACATATATAGGAACTAGACTATAGAAATTTTTGGGACCTGAAGCAACAACAACATTGTTGAAAATTAATACAATTTTCTCCAGTAAAAATGATACTGCAAATATTTAATCACCTTGCTGGTGAAAATACGTCAGCAAGATTATTGACAATTATTGAAATAACAACCTCAAAACTAAATGTAGAGAGACATAATATGAAATAATGATTAATGAATTTCTCTGATACCCAAGGATGTCGTTGTCATGATCAGGAAAGATGTATCTGTATCTTGACAATTAGATGGCGCACTACTAGCTATATAATAAAAACATAGCTATGTACTCGAGGGTACATACCTCCGCCCATAACTTGGGCTCCTACGTCGTCGAGGACTAGGACTTCGGCGGCGTCCACTTCCCAATCCTCTTGGGCCCACGCGCAAACGGCATTCACGAGCAAAATGACCAGGTTCACCACATTCATAACACTTTGAATCATCACCTCCACCGCGGCTACGGCCACCACGGCCTCCACTAGAATTGTGAGAAAGCTCCACACGCCAGCCATTCTTTCCTGTTATATTAAAATAAAACATGCCTACATAAACCTTACATATCTTAAAACAAATAATTAATCCTGAAACATGAGTGATACATTTAGATAAAGATATAATAATACACAAAACTCAAAATATAGGTCAAATCCATACTCAAACTTGAGTATTATGTGACTGAAAATGACAAAAGTTGATTTATCACATTAAATTAATATGTCTATTCTACTTACCATCCAATCCACGGACAGCATCTAGTGCATCCCTGCGATCATCAAACTCAATAAATGCATAACCTGGTGGTCTTCTAGCTACCCATACACTGCACAGATTCCATTAACAAGGAATTAGTCCTAGTCACATGGAAGAACAACAATTCATATTATGGTTGCTAAACTCCTAATCCCAGAAGGTTGTACAAAAATATAAATACTAAGAGAAGAAGAATGTATTTCTATGCACTTGCAAAACTCTCTAGTCTCTATATCTCACGCTTGGTTCTGTATATTAAAATTAAAATATCAAAGTACTAAACTTGAAACAAAAATCAAATGTCAAAATAAACTTATAATCTTATATCATTTATTAAAAAAAAAAAAAAAAACATTATCCCAATTTCAAACAAAAGAACATAGTGAGAAACTCAAATTTCAATGAGATAATATTTAAAATTTAATCTTTAATTAAAGGTATATTTTTATTGCCATTGAACACGGAATTAAGAAATACAGGATGGATTCTCAAAATTCAATAAACAAAGTCATTGATGGTCACTACATATTCCCACTACGAGATAGGCAAGGGGGAAGGCAATAAAATGAGAATAGTTCACTTATTCCTTATCTTACAACTAGAAGCCCGTGACTTGTTTCTCTCCAATCCCTTTCTCTAGCCATAAAAAGACTGAGGAAGAGGCAAGTGTAAAAAAAAAAAAAAAAAAAAAAAAAAAAAAAAATTACAAAACTCTACACCCACACAAAATACAGACTGGAACTTCTTGTGAATTTACAGAGACAGAACAATAGTTACTGAAATAAGTTATTAGATGATACTGTATATTTTTTAAGATCTATAATACATGACAATCACAGTATTAGTTACTACATTTACTCCACAATAATCAAATGTGCATGGACTTTAAGAATGAAAACGTAAAAGATTAACCTCCGAAGGACACCGTAAATGCGAAATTCATCCTCGAGCTCCCTCTCCGTTGCTCGGGGATCCACATTCCCAACGTACACCCTGGACATTGTGTCTTGCCTACAACTCAAACGCTGGCACCTTTTGGGAGAAGAAACTTTTTTAAATCCATTCAGAGCAACGTTTAGGAACCAAATAAAAAATTTAATTAAAAAAACAAAAAACATTCTCTTGCATACATCCAGAAATCCATACAGATATGCATATAATCATGCTAGAAACATAGAGAAGTCTTGAAAAAACAAAACTTACCGAGAATAAGGGTAAGGGGTTTTCAAAATGGGAATCGGGGGCCTAAAACCCTAGGAGGTGTTCGGAAAGTTAGAACTCGGTGGGGAAGAGTGGTGCAACTAGATGAGAAGCCCCCTAGACCCTTTTCCTTTTGGAGCGGTGAATTGGGACACGTGTCGGCAGTAGATACTAGGAGATGGGTGTCATTATTGGGCCACATATTTTGGAATAAGCCCAGATACAAACCCATTCAACACTAATGGCCCGTTTGGTTCACGGAATAAATTTGAAAGAAATAAGAATGCTATTTTATAGGAAATGAAATAGAATATGAATTGTAGATGGAAAAAAAGTTAGAAAGTTAGGAACTTATTTTGAGACATTCTAAAATTAGCTCTTATTTTAAGCTAGGAGCTTATTTTAGGAACATTACCGTGTCAAACAGAGCCGTAATCTACAAATTTAAGTAGTCAATAAATAAAAATTGGTATGGACTAACAGAGAGTATGCATTAAGTAAACTTTGTATTATGATCTTAGATGACGCTAAGTAAGAAGATGAACAATTTAAAACTGTCAAAATCCGTTTTGCCCGCCGGACAGACCTGCCAACGAGCATGCCTCTGAGGTCCATTGATTGTAGCAAAAATAAGATGTGAGCTCGGGTGTTATATCGTCCTCAGGGGATTGGGGGATATGGCACGCAATATACAATCACAATAAACTAGGCACTAGCATAAGGAAATCAACAAGAAGCTAAGAAAACTACAAGTTTAAGGAAATGATAAGACTAACACATATACACAAAGATAAACACAAAATAAAGAAATAGGACTCAAGCTAGGGAGCATTATCATCTAGATGCATAGCACAACCTAAGGATTGGGGAAAATCACACAACCAAGGAATAGAGGGGATGCACGTAGGAATCCTAGTCTATAAGTCACTCACGTGAGCAAATTAGCTAGGATTAGAATAAGGAATTGCCCCACTCTCGTGGTGAATCAACTCCAAGTTCTTCAAGAACACAAAGCATCTAAAACCCCCAATTTCTTCCATTTTCATAGGAAAAATCGGGTTTATGCAAGGAGTGGCTTGAAATCTTGACCCAACTCTCATTGAGGCCAATAATCCTCCAACACATGTCAATGAATGTTGTACACCAAGCATTAACAAAATACAAACACAAATCCTTCATAAACTCAAGAACCCTAGGTAGGCAAAATCCCCTTTATGCAATAATCACAAATCAAGCATCAAGATATATAATACAACCCTAACTCAAGTCCATAAACTAACTACTCATGATTCAATAGCATAAAGAACACAAAAACATAAATGTAAAGCATAAACATTGAAAGATAAAGAGATAAAAGGGAGAAGAAAACTTCACTAAGACATGGATGGTAAATCTTGGAATCCAAGTGTTGATTCCTTGAATACAAGCTTGAAATATGATAAAGAACCTAAATCTACACCTAATCTAACACTAAAATATGAAAAGAAAGAGTAGAAAATAGTTAGGGTTCGAATGGGGTTCAAAACCGAGTAAAAATGAGTGAAAACTTAGCTAAAATAGAGCAGAGACGGGGGGCTCGACGCGTCGAGAGTAATTCTCGACGCGTCGAGAATTTACAGATTGCAAAACGCGATCACACTGCCCAGATTCGACGCGTCGAGAAAATTCTCGACGCGTCGAGTGCTTCTCTGCAACGCAACTCCGACTTGTAGGCTGATTTTGACCACTTTATGCTCAGAATTAGGCTTCGATATCTTCATGAAAGTTGTAGATCTTCGAGTCTTCTTTCCAATGGCGCAAGAATCACATAATTTGGATATTCCTAGGCCGAGATATGATCAAATTACCAAACAGTGGTCAGTTTCGGGTTAAATCTGTAAGTTCGGAACTTCAACTTCAAAGATGATTTTGACCACTGTGGATTCCTTTTTAGGCTTTTATGTCTGAATATGAGTTGTAGCCCTTTGAGTATTCTTTGCAATGGGACAAGAATCATGTAATTTGGATGTTTTTAGCTTGAGATATGGTCCAAAAACCATGACGTCGACTTGCAGGTCGGGAATTTCAATTACATGATCTTTTGCTTCTCTTTTGCTTTGGTTTGCCCAAATGATTAAGACCATTGAATACACCACTCTTAGGCTTCCTTGGAAGTGTTTTGCTCATCACCTTAGCTTCTCCTTGGCTCCCATGAACCCTAAATGTATCCATAATGCTCCACTTACTCCAATGTCCTTCAAAATGCATGAAAATATTCATTTTTGCTTCCAAAGCTTTTCAAACCAAATTCCTTGCAAAATAACACAAATTAGTCATAATCTAATGAAATTTAGAATGATCTATAAACAAAATGGCTTAGTGAAAGGAGCAAAAATATAGACTAATAAGCGCTTATCATCCATCCTGTTTGGCCCGCATTACTATGTGGGGCGAACCTAAGCTGGTTTATGTATATATATAGTAAATGTTTTAATAATATTATTATTGTCTTCCCAATGAATAGTAATATTACTATATATATAATGATTATTGAATGTTGTGGTAACTTATTATTGGTAATAAGTATCTTGTTTCGCGAGATCTAGGGATTGAAACTAGTGGCTTGCCCCGCCACATAGGAAATAAAATTATATAGTAAATATTTTAATAATATTATTATTGTCTTCCCAAAGAATAATAATCTATCTATACCATACCATTCTAATAAGGGCCAATAATGTTAGGTCCTTAACTGGAACAAACAAATGTCTGTCCTATTGTTTCTTAAAATGAATGGTTTATATTATTTTGATTTTAGTATTTTTTTTTAAGAACAGATTGCACTTTTGGTCCTGTGAGTATTAGGGTACTGACAATTTGAGTACGTGACTTTCAAAACTCACAATTTAAACCTTTAACTATGCAATTTTTGGCACATTTGGTCCTCCGGGCCAATTTGCCGGCCAATTTTGGCCGGAAAAAGATTTAATGCTTCGAATTAATTTCTGATGAGGGTAAAAACGTCATTTCACTCTCTTCTTCTTCATTCACCCCTTCTTCTTCGTTATTCTTCTTCCTCGTTCTTCTTCTTCTTCATCCTTGCACTGGGAGCACATCCACGCCAATGGAATTCAAAGAGGGAAGCTCACCTTCTGTAGCAATGCTTGCACATCAACTCCAGCACTGATCAGGGCATAGCAGAGGCCAAAGGATATCAAGGAGAGAGTAATGGAGGTAGCCAGGTATGCTCCTCCCTATTTTGTCAAAAGCTCCTTTGCTTGGTCCCCTTTTGACTTTATTGGTTATCTTCATCTTTTGAATTGAATATCTACAATGGTTAAATTACAGTCTGATTATTATGGCCAATGAATCAACTTTGTCATATTTCCTTCCTTCAACTTTGTCACTATATACCAGATAAAAAATAAATTTAAAGAACACTAAATCTATGAACAATTATCAGAAAAGATAAGGACTTTCTTGAACAGAGAAGCAGAACCCAAATACCCAAAATCTGATCGGGAAGGAAATCAAAAAATCAATATTATACCATCCAAAAGATTTACCAGACCTTAAAAAGACCCAGTTCATGATCATAATTCATAAATGAATTTTACCTTCCAGAGACCTGCTTCTAGGCCATATTTCTTGGTGACTTCCTTTGCAGATGTCTGGGACTCGATTTCCTCTGTTTTCTCCTTCACAGCCCTCACTTTGAGCTTACTGAAACTGGGCTTGGAATTTGCAGAAGAGCTTGAGGCCCTGTTTGGTTTTCCATAACTCATGGGAGCCCCATGAGGAGAAGAGAAGAGTGCAGTTTTAGCCCCAGGATGAAGAAGACGAAGAACGAAGAAGAAGAAGAACGAAGAAGAAGGGGTGAATGAAGAAGAAGAGAGTGAAATGACGTTTTTACCCTCATCAGAAATTAATTCGAAGCATTAAATCTTTTTCCGGCCAAAATTGGCCGGCAATTTGGCCCGGAGGACCAAATGTGCCAAAAATTGCATAGTTAAAGGTTTAAATTGTGAGTTTTGAAAGTCACGTACTCAAATTGTCAGTACCCTAATACTCACAGGACCAAAAGTGCAATTTGTTTTTTTTTTAATGATTTTCCTTATTTACCCTCTATTATATTATTTTCTTCCCTTAAATAACCTAAATTCCGTTAGTTTAAACTTTAGTAACGGAATATTCCGTTAACTATTTATTATTATTAACTTATTAATTTATATAAGAAATGTCTTAGGTTCAAACCGCATCTCAATTAGAGTTGACGTAATTGTTAAACATATACTACGAATATTTTAAAATGTATTAATATATATATATATATATATATATATATATATATATATATATATATATATATAATATAATATAATATAATATAAAATTTAACATAAACTTTGGTCAAATAATCCGACTAAATACATAACATTCAAAGTTAAGCATCAATGATTATAAATCATGGACTTTAAAAACCATTTGATTTTTATGTATTTAAAAAAAAATTAGGTTAAGTTTCTTTTTTCGTTTAATTAATGTTCTTTTGATTATTTAGATTAGAACAAAACTTAATATTTCAATTATACTTTTGCATTATTGGTATGATTTAGGACGTTATGGTATTAATATTTTTTGAATGTATTTTTATAATAGTAGAATTGTACATTACTTTACAAATTTTATACTATTATTTTTTTTATCGGACAAAATTGTTCTTACATCATTGTCAGATCTGCGCGACCTAACTACAAAGTTGTTGATTATAAATATAATTACACCTGGAATCTAAAACAGTAAGACACTTTTTTCAAAGAATTGATAATGTTGACATTCCATTGGCTCTAATTGAACAAGTTTACACATCAGAATTTTATCAATGCATGAAAACTTCTAAAGAAATTTGTAAGTTAATTTTTACTATATCATTATAACAATATCTATTGTAACTATATATTTTGAATTATTTATTATCATCCTCTATTTACAGGAATTGTAACAATTGTCATTGACAAACTCACAAAACAATTATACTATTATTTATTTACCTATGTATGAACATCTCCAATATAATATTGCAGTAATCTACTTTGAATACTTGTTTAAAAATAATTATTGAGCATTATTCTA